TTTACTTTTCAGTAGTCTTCCTACAACTTCTTTTAGGTATTCTTCCACCTAAAGGGCAGTGATCGCAGCCCTCCGGAATGAGCATGTTGAGACTTCAAATATCTGTTGACCTATTCATAAGACTTAATGTTCTGAAACAACTTAACTTACACCAAAAGTCATGTGCCTTTTAGAAACTGCCATGTGAGCCTGTAGAATGACATGTGGAATGATAATCAGATTCAGTGTAATCAGACTAAGAGACACAATTCTCATGGAAAGACAGATGACCAAGTCTGTCCTGTCTTGTCATTTTTACTAAAACATAAGACTTTTGGGAGCAGAGACCCTCATCTTTACTCTCTGGTAACTGGTGCGTTCAAACTCTGATAAATGGCTTTATCCCTCCATGTCCATGCTGGCTGGTCTCAGGGCTCCTCTGAGTACCACACAGTAAAGGTTCTCAAGCCTCTTCTATAAAATCACACACTATTCTCACACAATCTATGCATTCCCTTTATATTTCTAAGGAAACTAGGGTCTTCACAACAAAGTTTAGATTGCTTAATAGTATCTTTTATAATATAAATACAATATAAGTTGTTTCTGTAACTATAGTTTTCAAGATATAATTCTAAGAAAAAAATAGTCTGTATATGTCTAGAATACACAAAGATGTGTTCTCCCAAATGTCCAACCCATGGTTGTTTTAATCCACAGATAGAGACCTCACATATTTAAAGGGCCAGTTCTAAGTAGAAAACAAAGGCATACACATACATGAGTGAGGTGATATTCACAGAAACCAGCTTTAACAAGATAAGAGTTTACTTTGTTCAACCCAGCCAGCTATATGCTAATAACTTGTATGAAAGTATTTGCTAACTTAAATCATTATACACCTCTCTTCTCATTGTAAGAGGCAACCCTAACTTGTTCTTTAAGGAGAATAACCAGAGAAAATAAAATAAGGTGAAAATATCCTGAGTACTTGTTTTATGTTAGAAATCTGATCCTGCATTCTATATTTCACACCTATGAAGCCAGAATTGTTATTCGCATTCTGCACATAAGGAAACAGCTCACAGTAAATAACTCAGCTCAGTGAGTTAGTGAATGGGGGAGCTGGGCTTTGAACTTGGGTCTATCCTTCTGCTCTCCCCATGAAAGGGTCCACACTGTTTTGACAGAGAGAAGCTTTTTACAAGCTCCTTGTTCTCATCCCTACATCTGGAAGAACTTGGGACAGAAGGTGAAAACCAAAATGTCTATGAGAATGTTTCTTATATTTCTGAGGTCTAGTTCTCTACAATATGAAACCCAAAAGTTAAGCTTGGCCTCCACCAACACTTGACTGTTTCACCTGTGAAATTTCACTAGCATGGGAACTCAAGGAGTCCATGTTGTCAGGCCTGCCTAACAACCTGTCATCATCAGCACAGATGAGGAAGATGGGTAGAAAAGAAAAGAGAGGAGAGAGAGTGTTTACATTTACACAGAGGCCAAGCCCAGGTACTGTGGTTGCTTATAACCCTGTTGTGTTTTTATTCTTGTCCTTTGTTAGAATCAGGACTTCATCTGAATGACCGGTTGATTACTGCAGCTCTGTATAGCTCCCTGTACTCTGCAGTCCTGAGAGGAATATCTGAACTTGATTCTAATTGGTCTAAAAACTCAGCCCTGTTCTAGACAAGTTCTCTAGTGTGAAAATAAGGAAGTGTTTTTGTTCTCCCACGTACACAAAGCTCACTCTCTCTGCCAGTTTCCTTTTTACGATGAGCACTCCTAATCTAAAGATCCAAAAGACTCTATAATGTGAAACTTGTCTGCACACAGGACACCACCAGTGGACAGTTCCCCGTTTGCCCTTGTGTGACAGGCAACAGTTAAAATGCATCACTACATAAGATATGAACTTAACACTAGCTTGTGTGTACACAGTATTAAAATGACTTGAGAGCTAGCCTCAAGGTAACATGTATTCACATACTCTGAAATTTGAAACATTTATCATGGCATGTGTCACAGATCAGGGAGGCCCCACCTCTTCTGTGTTTGAATCCTCAGATATTCCGGGGTGAAGAGAGACTCCAGTCATAACCCAAGATGTCTCTCAAAAATTTTTCTGTGAAGATTTTATTGTGGTATTCAAAATAAAGATTTTCTTAGAATTATATAGTAAATGTGTTGAGTTTTTAAAAGGGTTTATAAGTGTATATTAATATATAATGATAGTTTCACTATGGCATGGCTATATGGATATAATTTATTTTAATCATACTCCCTCATCACTTTTTCTTAATCCCCTGTAGCCCATCTATTCCCCTTCCCCTCCCAGTTAGTCCCCCTTCTACTTTCTTGTCATGTGTGAGAGAGAGAGAGATTGAGTTTAATAATTAGGTTGCTGGCATAGACATACTGAGAGGCAATGGGCAGAAGGCTGGGCTCCTAACTGCACTTTTGAAGAAATGTCTCCCTCTCCTCTCTCAAGGATAAATCCTCAGGAAGGGATGGGACCTCATGAACACCTCCCTGTCCATGGTATAGTTGTTGACGGACCCAAATTTGTACAGTCTTTGCAAGTAATGAGTTCAAGAGAGAGTGGTCACACCATGTCCAGAGGACACAATCTTACATCCTCTTTCTCCAGCTCTTACCTTCTCCCACCCCTTCTTCCAGGAAGTTCTCAGAGCCCAGGGGCGGGCAGGCAGGGAGGACGGGGGAGGCTTGCCATAGATATCTCCTAGCGGGCTGAGCATTCAACCATCCATTCATTCTCAGCACTTTGATTATGAGCTCAGCAGTAACCACCAACCATTTCAGATGGAAGCTTCTGTGACCAAAGAAAACAGCAATGCTAGTCTATGGCTCAGACTAAGTACGCAAAGGGTTTCACATGCATAGCAGCTCTCACTCAGGCCTGTGACATAAGCTTAAATGGACTGTCCTGTTTCAGCTTATTCATGCTACTGTCTACGTTCAGTTCACTTTCTGTAAACTGGAACATTATCACACACACTTGGTGCCATTAATTAGCTGTTGTAGGAAAAGCCAATATTATAAAATGAAACCTATCTTGCAGTTGTCTTGCTCACTAAATTGTTTTTCAGAAAAGGCCTCATTCCTGTGTGTTCTAAAACAGCCAGCTCAATTATTTTCCCATTTGAAAACTAATTATGATATATCATATCTTACAAAAACAGATATACATGATATGGTTTCCTACCTCTGAAAGCCTGGAATTCTTAGCCTGGAATTCATATACAGGTAGCAACCACAGCAACAATTTTATTCTGTTATCCTTTGAGCTCAGTTAAAAACTAGGGTTTTCATCTAATTGGTTCTAGACTTAAAACACATTTTGTCACTGAGCAGTATTCCAGCTCTCAGGAGGCAAAGGCAGGCAGAAATTTGAGTCCAAGGCCAGTCTGGTCTACAGAGTGAGTTCCAGAACTGTCTGGACAAAAACAAAAGTAAAAATAAAACTACATTTTGTCAATTTCAGGTGACTGTGTTACGTCATTCTTCACTGTAGAGATTCTAAAGCACTCTCTTTTGCCCTTGTGATTAATTAAATAATACCAAAAGTTCATATTTCCCCCAAAACAATGTTTGTACAAATTTGTACCCCAAGTTCTGGGATGACTCTAACAAAGCAACTTGGGGAGAAGCAGTCTTATTGGTAAGCAAAATTATCATTTGGAGTTAGCAAGTGTACTGTTATAGCTCCACCATGACTCCCACCAAAACCTCATTATCCAGACCTTGTAACAGTGTCTGAATCTGCAAATGCTGCTGTATGTATCCTAACGTTCAGTAACTCTCTCAGAAAGCTTTAGTTGAGGAGACAGAAGCTTTTCACAAAGTACTGCATGTTACAGTAGTGTTCATAGGAAGGTCACTGTGCATTCCTGGACAGTTCTACCTGGTGGCTACTCCTTTGCATTAGGAAATATGTTGGCAGCTACAAAAAGCAAATAACTTAAATTTTAATAAAGAAAAATCACTTGCAGTGGTAATGCTGACTATCCGTTGACTTGCAGTTCGGTTACAGGGATTTAAATGGCATGTTCAAGATGTCCTCCGGAAGATAGCAGGCCCCCTCTAGTGGAGAGTCAGCCTTGTAACGAAACTAGTCCCCTCAAGCACTGAGTTAGTGCGGAGTTAGATTTTGAAGGAAAGGCCTGTATGTGGTTTATGTTTCTCTTCACGTTTTAACCATGAAAATCCTGTTAATCAAAGATATTTGCAAGAGAGCTGTTTGAAGTCTCAAAGTGCTGCTAATAAGCACCTGGTACCAAGGTGCTAACTTGTTAGGAAATAAAATACACATTTCCTTGTGTATACCTGTAAGATTGGTAAATACACAAACTCAAAGGTACACTTTCACTCCCATAGTTAAGTGCTTGAAGGGCAATCTTATCCCTTGCCTTCGTCTTGAGCTGAGTACGTAACTTGTACAATATTGCACATCTGAATGTCAGCTTTGACCTTTGTGTTCCCATTAACTTTCCAGAACATAAGCCATGCTCACTGTGGCATTCCTTTATGAGACAAAAATAATGACCCAAACTCCATGCTTTTTTAGGTATCCAGTTTTCTGTCCCCTGTGACTTGTACTGTGCCGTATAGAGTTTAACGGTTTTATAAAATTTTATTTTGGTACCATCAAAAAATAAATAAAACTTTCCCAGGCAAGCAAGAAAGTCAATGGCACATGACAGATATGTGTTTTGAGTTTAGAATTAGTAAAGGAAAAGAGGGAGGTGCTAATGAAATGTATTATCAATAATAATGGATAGACCCAAACAGCGAATGATAGTGGCAGGTGGTGAGAAGACTGGGCAGAGAACACTGTAGAAATTCTTGCTTTGAAAACCCTACACCATATGTTTCCTCCGTTGTGCTTCTGTATAACATCTATCAAAGTGTGTGATCAACTGTGTTATTGTAGCTACTGACGAACTTGGTATACACTGTGCAGACTTTCTTTTCACTAATCTGATTCCTTTTTCCCACAGCAAATGATGTGCTTGGCTTTGGAACACTGGTCAGTACTTCTAACACCTACGATGGGTCCGGCCTTGTCACTGTGGAAACTGACCATCCGCTCCTCTGGACCATGGCCATCAAGAGCTAACCTACAGTATGGCATCCATCTTGCGCCTGTGCCTTCCCTTCCCTGCCCACTGGTTCATTGCTCAGCATGAACAATCACATAGGTGTGCAGAAATCTAAACGTCTCCATAGAGGGCCATGAGCTTTCGAGGTGTTAGGGGTCCAGGTGTAGCTGAGCATCGGAGCACTTGTTGCGCATGTACAAGGCCTTGGGGTTAACCCTCAACACCACAAAATAAAGATGGTGGTGTTTAAAGAAGCCAGGCTATGCTATAAATGATATCTCAGTGTTATATTGAGAGAAAAATTATGTTCTATCAAGGCAATTATACTCTATTAAGAGAGCTAATGTGGATCATTTACATTATATAATTCAGTTTTGATCATTTTAATTCAATTAATCAGTCCATTTACCTTAAAATTCTTTTTTTAATTTTGAAGCACCAGAAGCTGTTTTGTTTTGCCCTAGAATCTGGCACTTCCTTAAGTGCCTGGCAACAAGGGCTGCCTCCTCTGAGTATCTCCTAACATTGGACTCCACTCTGTAATGTACACTATCTCCCCGAATGCTGTGATAGAATGGCACCAGTTCACTTTGACATCATCTTTTAAAAAAATAAGAATCATTGACTTAATTGTTAGGTTTGAAAGCAAGCAGCTACATGGGCTGTGGTTAAATGAGAAATGGCAGCTCAGGAGTCACTCAAACATTAACCCCTAAAAACTTGAAAGTAAGCACTCTGAGCTTTAGAAATGCAGGTGTCCTTATGAAAATTTTGACACACCCAAAAGGTTTGTGCTAAGGAATTGATCATAAGCCCGAAAACTGAGTCACTTTTAACATTTTTCGCACTAGGGACTAGAGAGATGGCACAGTGGTTAGGGGCACTGACTGCTCTTCCAGAGGTCCTGAGTTCAATTCCCAGCAACCACATGGTGGCTCACAACCATCTGTAATGGAATCCAATGCCTTCTTCTGGCATGCAGCTATACATGCAGATAGAGTACTCATAGACATAAAAATAAATAAATCTTAGTGAAAAAACATACTTCACACTGAAAAGCAAAATGTTAATTCATGGACCTTATTTACTGACATCACCAGAAAATTAGTGTGCCTGTGGAGATAATGAACACCTCCTGCTGAGGAATCGACACCTGAAGCCCGTTTCTGTACCCCAGTCCACCATGTGCCTGGTTTCTGAATGCTTCTCTCTGCTGTCTGGTGGGAGGGATTGTAATCACTGAGTGTGCAAAAGAACCACAGACAGGAATTCTAAATGCTAACATGATGCAGGTGTAGAGTAAATAACACAGTTCCTGGTGTAGCCTAAGCTTGCTGCAAGCACTAAAATTTATTCATGTTTCTTTCATGAGCTCCCCTACTCTCCTACCCTCTCTTGTCCCATTTGTTAAATTGTATCTTGCCAAACAAACCATGATTTAAGGCAACCTGCCTACCATGTTGCATTTATCCAATGACTATGTTACTGTCTTCTTGGTGCTACAACAATATGAAGCTTAAAACATGAATAAAGGAAGAAAAAGGGTCAGTTGAACCAGTACCAAGTTCTTAACTGAAATACTTAGATCATTGTTACCATTTTATGCAAGTATATGATTCTGAAATCTGAATGTCAAATAAAAAGTTATCAATGTGCATGTCTATAATGGGTTTCTCAGAAAATGTTTAATGTTTTCACTTATATTTCAATATGACTGATCTCTTATAATCAGTGTTTCTGTTCAAAGGGTGACTCAAGATGTGTAATTCATAATTAAAATCTCAGATCTGACTACAGATAGCAATCCAGTAGTGTTAAGTTCTTCCTCAAACCTTTCCCCATGGACATAGAGACCAATTCGTCTCTAGACAACCTGGACCAGTGATTTATATTTCACCATTGTAGACTCCTCTTGCTCTAGCTATGAAAAGAAGAACTGCATGTCTTACCTTACCATTCCTCACTTTGTAGGAATTAGAAAAGAGAAAAATAAAGATAATTTGCATCCTAGGTGTCTAGTTGCTGGAGAAAAGGTGCCAGTAGTGAGCTATATATCTGCTGGGGTGGAGATTAAGAGAATTAGTAGAAGAAGACATCTGAGAAGCAGGAAGAGACGGGGTCAGACAGTTGAAGAGCACATTGATGACAAGCTCATAGTAGGATCTTCTAATTTCCTCAGTTACAGATGCAGACCTCAGAGGCCTCATGTGTCTCTTCCATTCCCAACAGACAGATGCTAGTCTGCCAGGAAAGAGAAGCAGCCAAGATTCTTTGCTGACTCATTGAAGTCAGAACTTCCCACAGGAAAGCTTATGCAAAACATCCAGTTTCTGCCTCAAACATACATGCGCAAATGAAATTAGGAGGGGAAGGAAGGCTGGGATGCGTAGCATCCTTCTTTACCACCGCTCTTTCCTACTGCAAAGTAGAGGCTTAGCCATGCTCCAGCTTCCATTGCAGACTGCTGATATGTTCATAACTGCAAGCATATTCACTACATGCAAAAAACATGTCCATAATTAAACATTTTACTGTCAAAGAATACATGTCTTGTTTAATCTGAAATAATCTATGTGTGTGCGTGCATGTGTGCATGCGCACATGCATCTGTGTTTTAATGAAGCTTGGTAAACATGTAAACACTGGAATGTATGTAGTATGGATACTTATCCCAGACTCTCATCTGTCAATCATGCCAGAAACAATGGATGAAGACTACCTCAGAGATTGCTTAAAAGCCAAGGCCACCATTCCCAGTTCCTGCTGACAACTGAAGAACTGCTTGCTGATGTTACGACCTCTCCCTTTCCTTGAAACTACATAAAGGCAGTCTCCTTGTGTATCATCTAAACAGATGCTCACCTTTTTTGTTAATAGCAGCCTCAAGAGCCTGCACATGGTGAGGGCTCAGATGAATGGGTGAAAGTCAACCCTCCAAGCAATTCCCTCTTAGTCCCTGTTCAGGTCAAATTCTGACCTCCAGCCTGTAGCTATAATGGGAAAATACAAATCACATGCGAGGAAAGGCACTCGTGCCTCTTGGACCTTGACTTAGATCAATTCCTTCCTTCCTTGATCAGTTTGTAGCTTCTGTCTTCTATTGACTGTTGACTAAAATGACGCTGGGCTACCCAAAGCACCGGCTTGATCTAAGACAACATAGGTCACATTTTCAACAACTGGAGTTGCACATGACTGTGAGATGCGTCATAGGGGAGTAGGTTGGAATCAGGTGTGGGTCTGCCAGGAACACAGTCTGAGCCTTCATTTCTGGGGAAAGGACTGAGCAGTTTCCACTGGGGTTGAAAACTAGGATGTCAACTGAGAGAAGCAAGGAGGAAGTGGCATTGCCTGAGTGTTTGCGAAGCTATGATGCTAGTTTTGCCTCATGCTTCTCTATGTATGGCATGCACCTCTCATCCTCTACCCCAGTGTGGAATCAGCCTTGCTTACTACTCCTGCTCACATGCGTGCCTCCCTGAGCACTGCCTGAACTGTAGAAATAAAGCAACCAGAGATTAGATGGGACTGAAGCCGATGCTATGCACCAAGTCAGTGAAGAGGGAGAAATGATTCTTCCCTTCCCTAAGGTTGTGTGATTATTATGGTGTCAATGGTGACTTTCAAACTGTATTTACTATGACCTACAAAGAATATATTTGCCTTATAACCCAGTCTGTAGAGAAACACACATATACACTGAAACCTGCAGTATGTTTTAATTTTAACTTAACTTAAAAGGCATCCATAAATACATTTGAAAAGCATGCCATATAAATGAACAAAATACATAAAAATATAGGAGTCCTACACTGATAAAACTGATTTCCTTATGATAATGATGCCATTTTTAAAATGTATTTCTTGGAACAGAAGAAAATTTAAGCCACAAGGTCAATTCCTTCCTAGAGAGTCCTTAAATAAGGGCTGGACAATGTCTGCCATGTAGAGGTAGCACAAGTTTGCCCTTCTCTGCCCGTAGCAGATTTCACTCATCAGTCATAATTTTCTTTTCTGGTGAGCCCCAGCCAAAGCCTCAAAATCCATCTCAAAACAGTTATCCAAGCAGATGTGATCGACGACGCTCCACTGGCTCAGAGCTAATGTGTTATTTTCCCACTGTATACAAAACCACTCTGCTGACAGCCCAGGAAAGAGGCCGTGCAAGCATCACTCTTACTCACAGCTAATGGGTAAATAAATACATCCAAGGACTTGTTCCCTGTGTGCTAAAAGCAAGGGCTTTGTACACAGCAAAAATAAAACCTAGGACCATCCTTGAAAATAACTTGGAAAACATGAACTGGCCCTTGTGCTCATTCATAGTTGAGAAGGAAGAGTCTTCAGAACAGACCAGCTTCTTCCTGAAAGCCAGAATCTCTGAAGTACAATACTAAGTCCAGATATTGAAAGGGAGTTTGATAGTTAAAGACCAAACAAAATTATATATATATAATATATATATATATATATATATATATATATATATATATATATCAACTATTTATTTTAAAAATGGAAAAAATTAAAGATTTTGTGAATATTTAGTAGACAGAGCTTGGAGGAAGGGACAAAAACCAAAAATTGTAAGTCTAAAGTTCTGTGTTCCATCATGTCGAGTTGATTAACATTATGAAGCCTTCGCAGACTGTAAACCCCTGAGGATGTGAACATCTGTCTTCCTTTGTCGTCTGTTAGCTCCTACTCCTAGAATAGGATGTGTCTGCTGCAGGAGTTCAGGGGAGACAGGTAATATGCTGCTGTGCTAGCAAGTCTCTGCTTGTACCACACTGAGAAAGCACATGCATTCCCACCCTACTGTTCCTCTTCTTCCGTGGTCCTGAACTGTCTATGCTAATATTTCTCTTAGATAGATTTCCCCAATCCAAAAGACACATTCTGTATTGGTCAGAGCTGGTAAAATCATTGTTCACTTTCCTGTCTAAAAAGAAAGAAATAGTTTTTACAAGGCCAAGTCCAGGTTCCAAGCACTAATCCAAGGAAAATATTTTGATAAAGGTAAGGAAAAAAAATCAGAAGTCCAATCAAGGACTACAAAGTTGCGTGAAATGGGTGAAAAAGGGACATAAAAAGACACAAAACACACAATGAGCTTGGGACAAGTAGTTTGGGTGAAAAGGACCAAAGACATAAGAGTGAAGACTATCTCTGCCTAGTGAGAAAGGAAGGCAGAACAACAAAGAAGTTAACAGAGAAATTCTTCCGAGTTGGAACCACAAAGGTTTAAGACAGGGTGATGGTTGCCATTAGATAAGGGGGACTAAGACAAAAATGCATGCTGCTTCTAACTACTTAAGGATGGGCCATTCAATCCTGTTCTCTTTATTTGTATTTGAATCTATTTGTTCCCCCAAATTAAGCCTATGAAATGAGTGTGAGCATTTTAAGATCATGAAGTGGGATATATTGTCCCCAACTGAACTGTCCACACTACATTCCATTATTTGTCATTTCGATTTGTTGCTCCATAATTAATAATCTATGTATAAATAAAAAGCCTACTTTAATTAAGCTAGGCGCACACCAATAATTCCAGCACTTGAGAGTGAACACAGGAAAATCACAACTTCAAGGTCATCACCGGCTAGATAGCAAGGTCAAGGAAAATTGTCTTTAAAACCCAAAACAAAACGAAAAGTAACAACAAAAAGCCTGTCTTGTAAAAACACACCACTCTTACTAATGTACTTTTATTAATACCCTTTATTACTCCTAATAATAATTAATATTTGAAAAATGGATGTAGACTTCTGTGTTTGTAGTTATTCTTTTTTTTTTTTTTGCCAATTTTCCCTCCTTACCCCACCACATCTTATTGGGTAGACCCAATAATTTTACTGTCATCTTACAAAATTTAAAAAACCAGTTATCTCCAATATAATGGGGCTTTCAGTACTGTGTCCTTCTGACCAAACATATGAAAAGGCCTAAAATAAGGAATTTCTTAGAAAAACGTAAATGCTTCCATTTCCCATTTTATAGAAAAGACGTTAACTGCCCAATGATATGCTCCACTTCGGCTACCCTATTAATTTAAGAAATCCCATTTTTCTGCCACTGGTTCCCTATTCATGAAGAAAGCTTCTTTGGTCCCACTGGGCCACACACTGCTCTTTTATTTTTACTCCTTAAAATTCAGGGAAACCTATGTGAATAATGAGGCGAAGAGAAAAAGTGCAGAAACTTGCTGGAATCACTTTTAGCCAGGGAATTTATTATGGATATTTTAAAATTGACCTTTTAGTCCAAGTTTTTCTTCAGTTCCAGTGCAAGAAATTAAGCAACAAGGTCACTGTGAATATTTGTATGCCAGTGGCAGTGAACAGAGATTCATGAATAATAATAAAAAAAAGATTAAATTGGTAAAAAGCCAATAGGTTCTTTTTCTCTAACAGCAAGTAGAAAAGTAGGATTTTTTTTCAACAAAGAAGTTTAACTTTTTACATCACAAAAAATTGTCATAAATCTGAAAAAAATGTTTATGTAAATCACATATATAATGTCTTGTCTAGATCATGTGTGATAGTGGTGCATCCACATAAATATATAGATGCTATTCATACAGAGGCTGCCATTATACACTCTCATTTCAGGGGTTAATAGCTTTCCTTCCATCACTGTAATGCTCTGCCTTCTCCTTAGGTTGATATTAGAAGTGTTGAGAACTCCACAGTACTGAAATCGTGTCTCTCATATTCATGGGACAATGAATAAGTGAATTAAATATAATCAATTAGGAATTACAGAAGCGTCAGATTACTAGAAACATCTATCTCGGAAAAT